ATTCTGCACGATGGAATATAGACCTGTGTGTGGATCAGATGGCAAGACTTACAGTAACCCGTGCATGCTGAGAGTAGCTGCCTGCAACCAGAACAAGACCATCACAGAAACTGACTTCTCTAAATGCGGTATGTAATTGCTGAGTTTCAATCAGCTGATTAATTTGAATGTGAATTTTTATCTGTTCTAATTGGTGGTCAAACACTGATGAGCACCATGAATGAATGAATAAATAAACGAATCAATGACTAAATAAGAGAACTAATTGAACTGATTAATGAATGACTAAGTGGAGGAGACTAAAAAAGTCTCTAAAACTGAACTTCGTCCAAATTAAAAATCAAACTACAATCAGCATTGATGTTGTGTGCGTTAAATACGCTCAATAAGGTGGAAGCTTATGATGATGGGTTAAATCCATGTTTCTTTATTTCTAAGGCCCCGTCCACACGTATCCGCAAATCTTCGTGTCCGCAAATTATTTTTACGGATACGGGTTGAGTCCACACGTGTCCGCAAATTTTTGTGTCCGTATCCTCCTATTTTGCGAAAACGGATACGTGTGGACGGTGAAAACGATTCGAATACGCTGCGTGTGGACGCAAACATTTTCGTATCCGCAAAAAATAATTTGCGGATACAAAAATTTCCGGATACGTGTGGACGGGGCCTAACTCCGTACCTAAAGTTACATGTGGTTGTCACGTGATAAGTGGCGTGACTAACCGGAAGTAATCTGGACACTACAATTGATAATTTTATTTAATTCGTTATTATTAACGTTTTGTTGTCTCATTTTACAGGTGCAATTAATCAGCCATAATCGATGCAATAAAATTGAAGAATCTTGACGCGACCTAATTTTACATTCTTTTGTCTTATTGGTGTTAAGTAACATTTGAAGCGCTATAGCCACCATGTTGGATAAATAAAGAACAAATRTATTTTTAGATTTTTAGATCTTCAACGTAGCAATGCTCATTAAGTTTCACAGCTTTTTGGAGTCTTTAGATTTTACTGTATTAGCCAACTAGATAACCAATCTATCATCTACCAAACTTCTAACTCTTTTCCAAAATACATTAATCAAGTATTAATAGCAATAACTTTCATAGCATTTTTGAATATATTGAGAAGTGAAGGGACCAAGAGGTAACCTGTGGGACGCCACAGYGAGCATCGAAACCTGGCATAATTCGTTGACATTTCGATGATTATCTTACACGTTCAGCATAAAAGCGAAGTAGCAAGTAACGTCTACTGATTTTTATCATAAAGTTCAACAACTTCTGAAATTTTGGCCCTCAGTTTTTACTTGAAAAGAAGCGAGAAGACAAAAGCGATAATGATCAAACACATTGAAGTGTGAACTTTTATAGCTGAGCTTGGCGGAGCWSCTGCAAGTAAGAAAGATGATATTTTGTTCAAGTTTGTTAAAAATAAAAGCAAAATATGTATTGTGTTAATTAAGTTGGTTTAAGTACTCCAAAGCCGCAATGATAAAAATAAACTACGTAATGAAAAAAAGGAAAGAATGGAAGGGAGAGAAGGGGGAAGGAGGGAAAGGGGGAAGGAGGGAAGGGGGAAAGAGGGAAAGGGGGAAGGAGAGAAGGAGGG